TATCGTGCACGGTATCCTTGTAGATGTCGATGGGGAATTGTTCTTGGGTCGGTCAATCTAACGCTGGGAACACACAAACAGTTTATCGTTGATGACAAAATGGCCGCCTCCTTGTGGTTTTTCAAGGTGATACATTTATTTTCATTATGGCATGTTACCTACAGGTGCGTCGGCCACATACCGGCGACCCGTGTTTCGTGTCTACTGGCCGGCGAAGGTGGATTCAAGACGGAGACAATAGACTACAAGCCCGAACCAGGTGGCTGTCACAATTAATCACACCGTCAACCCTTTCTTCGGACGATAGATTCCGCGTGGGTAGGGATGATACGGGATTATGGGATGGGAATTACTGATGGACGGATCGATACACGAGTTTTGTGTAACTTAACGAGTGCTAAGCTTTAGCAATTGATCATAGGTCTGTGTGAAGCTTATATGTAGAAGAGAAGTAGCGGTTTAATGCGCCTGCGCGAGCATGCGTCCCCTAGATGTTCTCCCTACATCCTACCAATGAATGTGCCCCGCAGTGCCTGGGACCGCTCACTCGCTGGAGAAAACATTTGTTTTCCCTACTTTATGCTGACCTGCCTGTGTTTTCAGTTAGCCAATACAACTCCGAGAAAATACAAATTTGTCTATCACAATAAAGATTCCTTCAAGGTGGATTTTGTCGTGATTTTCATGACGCTTCATCCCGCCCCCCAGTTCCTCTAAATATTTTTTCATGACAGGGACCTGGAGATCTTTATTGACGAACAGCCGTGACTACAGATTACGGTCCATGCCCGGATATAGCAAAGTAGAAAACAAGGCACACACATTGTCAGTCAGGTGGTATTTTGTTGGACAAAGATAAAAGTTAAGAGCCGTAAAAGCCAGGGGCCAGGTGAAGTTTTTTTTCATGCATTCCCGAACTGTTTTAAGCCTGTGAAGACATGCACTCGGAAATCAGTAGTGGATCCCTCACTCAGCTGACAGACTCCGTTTTCGCTCCCCATTTTTTGGGGGGAGGGGAGCGTTGTGTTTCAGGTAATTGACTTTTTGCATGGTTTTTGCAAAATTCAGCCTATCTCGTAGTTATTAAATGCTTCCTCTGGCTATAATTAAACTTTATAAGTGATTGCTAAAGTTTCAGATAACCTCGAAATGCTGCCCTGTCAAGATATGTGTACTCCCCTGCCTTGAGATAGTTAAAGAAGCAGGCTCTTTCAAGAGTTAGCGAGACTACCGAAAATGAAAAAACTCAAACCTAATGTTTACAAGTACATTTTGTCAAGAATGGTAGGAAAATACGAATACAAGACACTTTTAAGAAGATGGCAATAATGTATCCTAAATTTCACTCGTCTGAAGACCAAAAAACCAGTTTTAGTCAAAATTCATCAGTCCTCAAGTCCATTTCTTCACTGCCAATGAAGCTGCACAAGCTTTGTCGCGCTAAGAAATGTTCGCGAATAGCATGGATTAAGTAAATCTTTGCGTTGTTCTTCGCAAATAAAAAAGTTGTGCTCTACACAGTGACAGAACTTTTGCACCTGAGCAAATACATAATTTTTATCCATGGCAAAAAATTTCTTAAAGCAGCTAAAAATGTGAGAGAATTGGGGCTCAGTTTGCCCGTTGCGAAAGTTGTTAACTCTAGTGATAAATTGTTTTAGTTCACGAGAGCAGGCCAGTCAGCTAAGTTTTCTGACAAATATTTTCAACAGGCAAATTATGGCACACAATTTGAACAGAAGACTCCTTCAACAAAAAGCACTAAAAACATGAACGTTTTAAGGTGAAATTTTCAAAGAGAATGACCAAGAAGAGACGTGTCAGATAATTTCCTTACATTTAACAGAGTAGCAACGATCAAAAAGTTAAAAAATTGCAATTATTTTATTGCAACCCTTGAAAATGCATGTTTGTTTTTACATTTAATCTAATTTTCAACTTTTGTTCAGGTACTTTGACAGTTTTGTTAGCCTCTTAGGTTTAATGCGAATGCAGTTTCTTTTTAATGGGCAACATCTGCGATGTCATCCCTGCACTAGAATTAGACCTCAATTCATCAATTTGTAAAACACAAATTAAAACCCCCATTAGAGTTTTATGATTCTGTAGTTGTAACCTTCCATTTCTGTTGTGTAAAGTCCATCACTGAGCAACATATTCTCGACAATGTTCCCAATGAGCATTCTCCAGAAAGCTGAACGACTTCAAATGCTGAAAAATCGCACGTTAAAGTCCGTTTAAATTCCTACTCGCCCCATAAACAGGTGTTTTCATATCCTGGAGAAAAGCATAAACTAAGATGCACAAATAGTTTGTCTTGGTAAAATGCCTCACATGGATCCTTTAAATTTGATTCATTTTCGACTTTTTCGTCAATTCGTTATGAGCAAAAGCACCCCCTCATCGGTTGAAAAGTGTTGGTAAGGGGTGCTCATTATTTTAGGGTGCGTTCTATTAGCTTACACGTGTTAGTCAAACTTACACGAGAGCGTTCGTTTAGCCATCACGTGATCCTCGTGCCTGCCCTGGTGTCAGCCACTACTACCCCTGCTGGCGAGCGGGTCTCTGGAGGCTGCGCGAGTGTAATGACGTTACGAAGGACTGTTCGTGCATGGACGTACACGATGGAACGTGGCGGGGACTTGACCTTTTCCCAGAATGCCTTGGCGAGTACACTGCAGCGTTCGATTACCCTCATTTCGAGGCTTCCCTTGTGTGTAACACTGGTGTATTCAGGGAAGCTAATCGAACGCACCCTTAGTAGCGACGCGACTGCAACACTTGCATTTCGTAGTCGTTCGTGAACCAGCGATGCACGGCTGGGTGCAGACCACTAATTCAAGTGAGAATTTCTGACCAGCTCATTAGCATTAAAAGTGCCCCACAGTATCTTTTGAAAAAGGAGACTGCTTGGCCCTCAAAATGGTGAGATTGTGTGAATCGTTGCCAGGATCAACTCCCTGGGTCTTTGAGCTTTCAAATGAGGGCAGAAGGGCTGAAAACTACGGTTGAAAAATGGTCCTAAGTGCCCGAGAAAGTTGAGGGTTGCCACTTGAAAAATGGCTGCAATCAGACTTCGGAAAAATCACTTTTTGGGGGGTGATTTTGTTTTGTGGGAATAATTAAA